GGAAAAGAAACTTGACGTTATAAACCTGCAGAAGAATCTGAACATCTTTCTGTAATACCCAGTTAAAACCTACATCTTCTCCACCTGTCTCAGGAGGCACAGTAGCAGACACAGCACAGTCTGATTCTGCTTAATGCAAGTTATGGGGAAGGTCCAGAAAATCTAAGAAGTCAGGAAGAATTTTTTTTTTCCCCCCCTCAAAGTTTGGTGGAACTGAACAAAATATCAGCCTGCTCATTCTTTGAATCTGACCGTAATCAAATACTAATTTTAACTAGATCTCAGTGTCAGAGAAGCCCTATATCCACAAAGACCAGATCCAAACAATACACATCAGCACCTAAGCATGCACATCAGCTGCACAGCATATGGAATCCAGAGTGGAATTTTCCAGCAGGGGAACACCTTTAAGTTACCAGTTTCCCATTCTAATTCCTGCCAATTATTCGACTGGATTTGTAATCTTCTACCTCTTTTTTTCCTTGGGAAAACACTTCTCCAAGGCACAGTTCTATTCAAAAAATTCACAGCATTAACACGGTATCTGATCAAGGTAAATTCTAAGTACCACTCACCACCTTGCTCAAACAGCTAATGTTGTAGAAAATCACATTTTCACAAAGATTTCCCCCCATATTTGATCACTGCGTGGGTTTATTATATAAAGGTAAAATTTCAACACTCTCTCCAATGCAGACAGCACCACGTAATGCTGTAAAGTGTAGTATGATGGAAAGTACAGCAATAGTAGCAGAGTAGCACAATGCTAGGCTGTAGCAAATTCAGCAACCACAGATACATAAACAAAAGAAAAAAACTGCTTACCTTTGGAAGGCCTCAGGTAGGCAGGGGTCTCCAGCAAGATACCCTTGCCTCCACTGCCAACCCTTAAATGAGGTCTGAGAAGGGGTGGATCCGATCACTCAGGCACACTGCATGCAGCTGAGCTCCTCTGGGTTGACCGTGCCTTCCCACCAGGTGCTCAATCACTGGTTCAGGCTGTGACTCAGCATTTCTGCTACATGTCATTACACAAAGGAGCAGAGTATGGAATATATTTAGACCAAACAATTTTATCAGTCAAATAAATAAAAGTATATGTAAACAATGGGCTTCAATGCATCTTCTTATCATGTCTCTTCTCCATTATGAATTTGAATAACATAATGCTAAGTGATTCTATCAAATTCTACAATTCTATCCAATTCTACAAGCCAGATTTTTGAACTCTAAATCCAACTACCACAGGAATGTGCAGAAGGGTTGAAGAAAACATCATGGCCATAGGTCAAAGGAGTACTCTGAAACACTGTGGATTGCTGCGGGGAGAGCAGCAGAAGTCAAGGGTAGCGATGAGAAGTGTAATGAAAGTGGAGTGCCGGCTATGCCAGTCAGCGTGTCTACACAGATTGCTCCTATAGCCACAGACAGTGCTCTTAAGATTGAGTTTTCTCTCTGGCATTGAAACACGTATTCTCTGAGGGAAACACAACAGGATATAAACGTAAGATGTGCCGAAATCAGCCAAGGGATCTACAGAATGGTTCACATGCCAAAAAACCTAATGCTAGAAACCAGGTTAACAAGGGAAGGCCCTGGGGCAGAGTCAGGAAATTGAAGCATACCAGTTGTTTTTCTCTCTGCTACTTCATATCTTACACAAAACAAAGGACATCAACTTAAAAGACAAGTGAAAAGAGAGGTGACACCAGTCATTTGACAAAACAGAGAACAAAACTGTGCCAGTAGTCAAGTTTGGGTTACTCCAAAACACTTCAAAAGCAGTTACGAAATCATGCTAAACTTAAATAAATGCTAAAAGGAAACTTGTGGCGGGTCCCAGTTTTCAAGGCTGGCCCCAGTCTCTGCAGGAGGGAGAACCCAAGCACTTCTAAAGGAGCAAGATAGCAGTGCTACAATTCAAGGCTATCTTTAGCTCCAGCAAGCTGAGAACTATTTGCTGGTTATCAAAATAGTGCATGCATAAATGAGAGAAACAGGATGTGGCAAAACGACCAGAATCATTTAAATTTTATTCTGAATCAAGACTCTGCCAGTCTCCATACCGTATATGGAACATTTCCCCTGCAGGTGCAAGAAGTTTCTGTAGGATTTGCTCTTGCATGTAGCATCCCACAGACTAATATTTTAATAGATCCAACGGCTGATTAGTTGATTTTTTTTCCGGTGTGGGGGGTAGGGAAGAGAGAAGGAAGTAGTGGAGAAAAGATACGTAAACTGCAGGTTGGGGGGAAGGGATGTTCTTTCCCTCTCAGAGGCCCAGCTGTACAAACCATATGTGGTAATATAACAAACCACCTGGTCAAAGCATAAGCAAGTTAAAGAATGTAAGGGAGAAAGGCATGAGTTATTTCACTGGGGAGTAGTCTATTCTCAAAGAGAGAAGGGAGAATTGATTTTCATGACAGGAGATAAAGCTCAGCAGATAAAACTGGATACTACTTGATCTGCCAACAGAAAACACAAACAGCAACCTTGCTGAAAGAGGAAGGGAGAAGGCCCTGACAGCCACCAGGCAGGTGCCGTTCCAACAGCAGTATGAAGAAGTCCAAATGGCCATTGAGATGCACAGAAGTATTACTTGCTTGATATGAACAGTCCCTGTTGCAGTTTCCACAGTGGGCCTCACATTCAACAGCCGCTCTAAGTTGCATATAATGTAGTATGTATGTTTCTAAGAGAACTTCTTAACTGGAAAAGGAGGTTAACAGTTTGTGTTCACATATGAAAAGGAAAGAGCTGCTTTGAAAACATTTATAGGTCCTTCCTCTGTCCTTGAGCCACACCTAAATGCTTTACTTCTGAAAAGCTGCTATGAGCCCAGACCACCTGATGAAGATTTAACTGATTCGTTGATTCATAAATGATTTAGCTAAAGGCAGAACTCTGCCAGCTAGAGATTCCCTACAAACCCCTGTCCTTCATATATTCAGTTCTCAATCTAGTTTGGAAGTAGGCCTATCACAAATGTTATGAAACATCCCATGGATTAATGCACCCATTCTGATGGCTTTTGAACAAAACATCAGAATCTAAGCAAGAGATCCCTAACTATAGAGAAGACTGGTTTGAATGGAATGAATGAGGAGAAGGAAGAAGATAAATGCTGCTGTTCCTCATTTGCCTGACCATGAGTCAGAACAGTTTATAGTGTCAGACTCCGGTAAGCTGTCAATTTAGTGGATGATGTTTTGTTAGCCACTCATCTTCCTAGCATTTTTTTTTACCTATCATAAAGTTGGGCAAAAGCAGGCAACTTTCCTGAAAAAAAAACAACAAATAAACTAGCCTCTGAGCCAGGTGAATATGCAAAGACAAAAACATTCTATCAAGCAAAAAAATGCCTCACTTTGTTCCAGTTTGAGATAGCTTGTTATCATCACAGGAAATAAAAAAAGTCCAGCTAATAAAGTCTGCATGAATCACATTCTCTTTGGAACTTCATGGAACTCTGTAAGCAAGAGTTCATTTCCATGTGCCTGCTGCATAGACAGCCAGTTGCACTGGGTCTGTTCCACAAGCAGGGACCTGAGACCATCATGCTTGCACTGAGATTCTTAGAAGCTGCCACTGGTTCTCAACTCATTTACAGTGTATTACCAGTTCTTATGGTTTGATTTTACATTTAGTGCAATGTGGTGTTCTTCATCAAAGTTCCGCTCCAGAGCCACATTTACACAACCGTAGCCTTTATAAGCATAAAAGTGTTTCTAACTCTTGAATTTGCAGAGAATACTTTGGATTTGTACTGTACAGGCTATAAACCTAAAAGACAGACATTCAAAAAGGCACTATTAAAAAAATTAAATCACAATTTTTGACCTTCCTCTGGAGATGAAAAGCATCTGCCTATGACACAGTTTTCAAAATCAGCAATGCTACAGCTAGAGTTAAAAGTTCCCCTATATGGGGGGCTAAGCAGCAGCAGTCATAGCCATGCAGTATAGGCTTCTGTTTTGTTCAGCCCAACAAACTAAATAAGAACTTCTTGGACTCCCATCTCTTATTAAACATTACTGGGAAATGATTTTCTCACTTACGGTGTTCTGGAAGACATTTGTTGTCATCTTCCACAACACCACAAAAACTTAAAATTTCAAAAATGAGCACAAGCTGACAATACATTAAAAAAAATTGTATTTAATTGAGTATGGTGCTTCACTTTGATTTTAACCTTTGGGTTCTTTTGAATTAAGTCATTTTCATGTAAAAGGAAATAAACTAAAAACTACTAAAATTGAATAAAGCTATTTGTTCCATTGTTTTTCTGGAAAACACTATCAATTCTTTCATTTAGAAAATTAATCAAAAATCAATTGAGTTCTGTGAAATGGATTGATTTTGATGATTTGGTATAGTTTACCCCAAAATAATTAGTCAGAAAATTCCCTGCTCTTCTCTAATTTCCAAATCACTGCCCCAGAAAATCCATGCTGCCTCTACTCAACTCACAAGGTGTTCTCATAGCATTCTGCTTTTAAGCAACAACTTAAGCAGGGTTCAAAATAACTCTTCAATTAGGAGGGACTGCATTTATATGGCTCTCAGACATTCTGATTACAGACACGTGACTACCTAAAAATTACAGTTCAAAAACGTTCCACTGAGTGCTTGCATTTTCCCTTCAAGGTGTTAGAGTCAAGAAAATACAGAACACATGGGAAATCCAGAGAAGGAAAAAGCTGCCCAACTAAAAGACTCCATCTTTAACCATACTTTTCAGTCCTTTTTACTTCTCATCTTTCTCTCCAGTAATACCATTGAACTAAAGCAAAGTCTATGCATCTTTGTTAAGCATCTATAGTAAAGCTAGAGTCAAAATCCATCTTCATCTTTCTCCACACAGCTCTCCTTGACAGTCATTTGCTCTTACATGTATGGTGTGGATGGCATTTGTGAAGTACTGGGGGGAAGCATTTCACATCAGTTTCCTGTGAACAAGCAGCCACGGTGTTTCACTAGAAACACCAGAGAATTACCTCCTTTGGAGAAAAGCCATAGGCTTAAAGGTGTTGTGGAGCACAAAGTTATCTTCTCGCTTCTTTGAGTGAATGATGGTTCTTTGATCTTTTTAGACAAGATGAGGCAGTCTTGGAAGATCTTGCCTGTAAACACACCATAGAAAAAGGAAGACCTTGTAGCCACCAAAACAGAAGAAAGTGTGATTATTTTCTTCCTTCATCCCCCACTCCTTGCCTAAATTTAATAGGTCAGTAAACAGCAAATCCCACTGAAGTAAGTCATTTACCACTAGCAGAAGACTTCTCCTCCACCTCCTAAATCTAAAAACTAATTTTTAAATCCACTATAAGGGAGGTGCCCTCAGCAGACTGTACCTGAGTCAACTGCACACATACATGTGCATGCATAGAAGCAATCTCTAGTAATCATGACGCATACATGATAATTACAATTCGTCCCAGTAAGTCCTTTTAAGGCTTTTTACAAGCACTCATCATGTAACCCTTAAAATGCTACTTTAGTGCATGTAAGATTTATTGTTCTCCTTATATAGGAAGTGAAAAAGAGTTGCTGAGTAGTTAAACAACCTGTCCAAGAACACTAAGGATACAACAAATAAATGTAGGGTGCTTTGACTCATTGTGCCTGAAATCTAACTGCCAGGCATGATTCTCATGCTTGTTTCTCCAGGCAGCTTGCAGAATTCATTAACGTTTTCAGGAAACACATGATCTGAGTTGTCAAAAGGATTTTCCTGCCCAACTTGACTAGACAGACAAGAGGAAGGAGACTCTTCTTTTATGTGCTGATATCTCAGCCTCAATTTTCCTGTCCTAATGGTATTCTCAGAGTTCAAGAAGAAAGAAAGACAGGTTGCTAAGCTTTCTGGAGCTTCAGCCTAGCAAAGAAGTATCCTCTTACAGCTTCAGGTGTTCAGTGATAAGTGGAAAGTCTCACATTATCTACCTTTACCAAGTGTCAGGTGAGAGGGTCAGAGGTTATGTTTCAGTTTAAAAGCCTTGTCTTCACAGAAAATGAGAACAGTTAGGCAACATGTTCTACAAGTGACTGAGAGGAGGGTGAAGGGAGGTGCAGTAAAGGCTTCATAAAGTTCTTTTCAAATTAAGAGTTCCTGCCAGAAATGCAACCATTATCATTGCATTGCTACCTACAGTGTGTCCAGCTCAGCCACTATTGCTCTGTAGTTATATCTTTTTTTCTGGTATTATGTTTTTCTTACATTATTACTTTTTATTTCTCCATACAGTACAGTTTTTTCCAAGAAAAAATGTTTCAGACTCAAGTCTCAGCACTTTGGAATAAATGATCAGAAATGAGAAATACAGCATTCTATCCCACACAAAACCTACTGCTTCCAGCATGCACTCAGAGTAACTCTATTGACACAGCTTACTGCCAATAAATCCACAAAAGTGAAGTCTACAGTTCTGAGCAAAGAAAATCTAACAAAGTTAAACATACTGCATGTGTTCCTTATTCTAAGCAAAAGGGTGTTACGTGATTAATACTAGTCTGTTCCGAAAACGTAAGACTTGCAAGAACTCCATTATTTTCTACTTATGTTCCCATTAGATCTCTCTCAAGAGTCTATTACAAATTCCCCAAACTAAACACACGTGGCATAGACAGCTTTCACTTACCATACTCAAAAGAACAGATTAGGAAAGAAATTACCTCTTGAGAATGTGTGTTTCATACACCGTAAGCCATGGTCACTGGAGGCAATCTGGGTTATAATAAACACTGCTGTCCTCTAGAAAGGAATTATGAGGACCTTCCCCGACTATGCCCACCACATCCAGGAACTGTAAGAGAGTCACTCTTAGGCAACTCTTTCAATGGGAAGGAGAGAAGGAGCAAAGACTGAGCTAACTTCCTTTAATATCAGTAGGAATCACACCATGTGAAAGAGCTTCCTTATTTACAGCCATGGAGAGCTGAAGGAAGCCCTTCACCTTACTAGTTCTGGGAGATGTCTGTCAGCAAGCCTTGCCATCAAGTTCTTGTGTTGTTTAAATGTATGCTGCAAAGAACCTGGCTCCATCCCCCTGGAGACTTCTTCACAAGTATCAGAAGGCTTCTCTTCATTTTCCCCCAAAGCTGTCTCTTCCCCAGGCTGAACATGTCCAGTTTTTTTCTCATCTAATGACATTAAAAAAATGTTTCGCGAAACCAGTCTGAAGTTATTTTCATTGTTTCCTCCATTCTGTTTTATGTAAAAGCAACTGAAGAGACAAACCATCAATAGCACCACTTTCAGACTACCATAAGCCTCAGTATACCCTAGGTTACATGTGAAGGGGAGCAGCTGCCTGCAACAAAGAGCTGGATGAAATTATGCAGGTAGATGTCATGTATTAGGAACACGTGAGCTCTTACAGACCTGCATCTCCAAGAAGACTGATAGTTGTGAGGAACTGTAATAAACATACACAGTATACATATACTTTTATATATTAAATATATATTAGTATTATATAAATAATGTCCAGACAGGCATGTTTTGTCATGCTTAACACAAGCACAAAAACCAGCAACTCCTAAATGTTATTTAAATCTTTCTAAAATCCCAAGCTTGTGACTTCATCCCTCTCTCCGTTTCAGTTCTCTAATTTTAAAAATGGGAATAACATCACTTGGACCCATCACAGGAATTTCCTGTATTAGAACTGGTGCACTGCTTTGAAGATGTGAGCTGCTGTTCTGTGTACCTTAGTTCAAGGCATGGAGTGGACAGTGAGGTGTATCATAATTGCAGACCTTCCTGAGTATTTCTGCACTACACACACAGCCACACAGTAATGATTAAGCATGCAAAATCCTGACCAGCGTGCACTGGATTCAATATAAAGCCTGGTGAGTCTCTTCACTGGCTCCAGAAAACTCCTCAGCACAGTTATTTCAAATAGAACTCCTTTCATGAAACTCCTCTCCCACTCACAGCTTCAGTGCATGTCCTGAAACTCCCAGCAGTATTTAAGCTGAGGCTGTAAGACAGACAAGTCTGTAATGACCAGAAGCACATATAGAGCATGCTGTGGATCCTTTCTTAAGGAGGTACGCTGGGCCAGGAGCAGCAAAGGCAGGAATCTGCAGCATGTCATGCAGAACCATCCTGTCCTTCAGCAAAACGTCCAGTGCCAATTTTGGAGCCCTCTCCTGAGCAAAGGACAGAACAAAACAGGGTGGTAAAGTCAGCTACAAATTTCTGCAAGAAACTGTGTAGCATTCTCTGGTATGCTTTTTGGGCAGAACAGACAAGCACTGCTACCATCTGTAATTGGATAGGTATGCCCTATGGCAGTGCAACACCTATGGCAAATGCTGACCTTCTATAAAAGTTTTCCTGCCAATGAACTACTTTTATTCTCCACCCTTGAAGGCGAACAGTATGAGGCGCATGTTCTGCCCCTATGCACTTCTGAATTCTGGGCTGGGCTTCTGTATTCCTTTGTCTCATATCTATGATGTGAAAGAAAAGAGTATGTTTGCTACTCACTGTTGCAAAAATGAGAAAGCAAGAATGAAACAGTCATTCAGGACAACATGAAGGGTTGATTCTTAAGCCTATATTTTATGTACCAGTAGAGCCCGAGGCTAGTCTAAGCCCTCAGCACACCTTGTGGTGTTGTTAACACCTGATCAAAACATTTCAGGTTTCAAGCTGAAAGATCTTACATGCCTTCTTTGCGAGCAAACCACCACATAGCAAAAAACAGAGGTTGAGGCTCAGTTAACAAGTCCTCATTTATACTGTTCAATTCAGAAAAGAAGAAAAAAAAAAAAAGAAAGAAAAGAAAAAAGAAGAAACTACTGAAATTACTGTAGCACAGACAGATGGACAGTAAAGCTGGGAAACTGCTGCATTTGGTGATGTTATACGTTGAGCGCTGTTGTGGAACAGTTATGACTAAGTCCTTTCAGGTCACACAAAAGCTGCAAGAACTTCTCCTATAGTCTGTCAGAGGAGAGCAAGGAGGGAGAAGAGGTGCTCAGGTCATTTTAACCACTTGAATGTAGGCAGGCTCAGAGAGATTTACCCTCAGAGGCTTCTCTTGGGGGCCTCTGTCAAATATAGTGGGAGCAGTATCCACTCCGTACTCACAAGCAATTTATTCACAAGTGATGGGATTACGTTTCTCAGACACTACAGATTCCAAGAGAAGGTAGTAGGGGGGAACCGCACTGGAGAGGGAATCTCTTGGAAGCAAACAGCGCCTCTGATGGCAGTACTGGGTCTCTTCAGGCTGTGTGGTTGGGTTACCCTGATAAAGTTTCCACTGTAGACTCTTAGAATATGCAGAAAATCCAGCTTTGAAAGATGTTGCCAGAATAGGATTCTGAATAAGGCAGATAAGAGGTCTGATCTGGCATGACAAATCCTGCTTAGCAAGCCAAGGGTTAAGTCTATGAGCCAGAGGAAAAGGATCCTTGCTTCTGCTTCCTCCCAGAGCAGTAACCCACAAACTTCAAAGTGACAGTTGTGCAATTCTTTTTGCACTACAACACGCTGGTGCAGAGCCATCACTGACACTGCCTCCTGCCCTTTCCAGCAAGGCCATTGCCACCTCATTTCCCACCTCCACGCTGCAGTGGAAGGAGATTGGAGAGAAAGGCATTTCCATTAGCAGAGGCGGGAAGAGTTATTAGATTCCCAAAGTGGTGTAGCTTCTAAAAACCTGCACACAGCAAGGGGTCTCCATACCACGCCTCTCCTCAGGATCAGAAACACAACTGTCATCAGTTTTGGCATTTACAGCTGAGGCTGTATTTGCCTTCTCCTTGCCATGAGTGCCCTCTCTCTACAATTCTTCCCAAACTCCCCCTAATCACTTTCTCACCTAGGGCTGGAAAGTAGGCCTTGCTGATTTCTTGCAGGCTTGAGTCCTCTCCTCAATCAGACTCCCACCATGATGCCCAAGGATGTCACACCAGGCCCCACAAGCTCCTCTCTCCTCCAAGGAGCTCCACAGCTAACCAGCTGCTCTCATAGGTTTCATTTGCTTTCCGGTGCCCATCCTGCTGTTTAGCAGTGACAAGGACCAGCTGTAATTGACAGCTGCAAGCTCTTTGGGTCAGAGACTGCACAGTTAGTGCAATGAGTTGACAGTCTACTGGAAGC